CTGGTTACAGACCTGAGGGTTTGAGTTCTTCGCTCGATCAAGTTTTCTTTCGCTCGAGCGAGCTTTTGGGTTGTTGGCTCGAGCAAGGCTTCCTTGGCTCGAGCGTAGATTCTCTGTGTCTGGTTGCTCGAGCGACCAAGCCTTTGCTCGAGCGAGCCTGTCCAGTTTAAATACACAGCAGCGGGATTTGATCAGTCTTTTTCATTTTCTTTTGTTTCCAAACCCTGGGTCCGACTTCTCTCTCTCCCTACTCACCTTCTCTCTTAGATTTGATCCACTTGGGGTGTGTTTCTACCCTAGATCCTTCATTAAAAAGGTAGAGTGAGTCGAGGGCTTCCATTTAATCTGAACGTTTGGTGATTTGGAGCACATTGGAATTTGGGTCTTCATCTCTGTCTTCTCCATTCGGGTTATTTTCTTCGAGGTAGGGATTTCCTACTCCATTTTATAAGTTTTGTTCTAAGTTTTGGTATTTTGATATGTTGGGAGTACTTTGGTAATTTTGGGAAAAACCCTAGTTGTATTAATTAATTAATTTGTATAATTAATTTAAGGAAATTGGGGAAATTGGTTAAATGCATGAAATTGAGGAATTCATTGATTAAATGGTGTAGTTGGATAATTTAAATCACTAGCCTATTGAATTGTTGATATATTTATTTTCAGTTTAGAAATAACTGTTTTGGGCTATCGGTGAAGGATAGCCATGATTGTTGTAGACACTGCATGTGGATTAGGGATAACTGAAACTAATCATTGATTAAGTCATTAATTTTGACTGCTGAATTAATACAGACATTATGTGTATTGATTGTGTGTTGTATATGTTATGTGTTTACATACGTTGTTTTGTGTGGGAGGAGATAGGGGATGTACTCCACGGTTTAGGGGAAGATAGGGGATGGACCTCTAAACCGGATTTTGTTTGGGAGGAGATAGGGGATGGACTCCATTAGCATCACTTTTATGTGTGCTTATTTATATTGAAGTGTTTTTATTGATACAGCACTAAAATGTGTATCAAACTGGAAGTATGAAGTGTTTTGATTTGAGCCTGAGTCTCATTTGTTGTTGACATTGGAAGAATGTGAATTTGTTATATATAGTTCACTGTTATAAGTTTGGCCAGGTTCTGAGCCATATTGATAATGTTGGAAAGTAAAACGTGTCGTAGACATTAATGTCATAAAACTGTATAATGATGTAATTGATTATCTTGGTTAACCATCTATTGAATGCTATTGCTTTATTCAATGCTTATATTTGGTTTAGTATATTTCTACTGGGCTGTAGCTCACCCTATATGGGAACATCATTTTCAGGTTCAGGTGATAAGCTACCTCCAAGGACTTAGCTTGGAAGGACTTGGATTTTGAAGACTATTTTCAGTTGTTTGCTTTTATTTGTTAGTACATGTAATAACACTCAAGCCTAGGGCTTTATTTGTATATGAGTTAGAACTCATACTTTTGTGTCCAAGTGTTGGCTTGGAAAGATGTAAGCCCGTAGGGCATTTAATTTGATGTTACATGTAATGTTTTTAGTTAGTAAGACTTTGATGAATGTTATAATGAATTGTTTCCTTTTTAACATTGCATGTTGATGATATATATATATTTAATGGGTTTATTTTTTAGGGCGTTACATAAATAATGATGAATAGCTATCATTGGTGCAATTTCCCCTTCATTGAATTACTAAAATTCTATGGCACTACCTTTGTTTACAACAATTAATTTCTTCATTAATCCATCATGGAGACCTACAAATAATGGATCAGAAATAGTGCATGTATCAAGCACTCAGTACAATAAGGCAAACTTATTGGAAAAGAGCTGCAAATCTAATATAAATTATATAGCCTATGTTTGGGAAGTTGGGTTTGAAGACTTAGCAAAAGAAGCAAAAGAAGCCAAAAATGTTTTTCAAGTTTCAAAATTATATAATGGTAAATACTGCAAAACAAAAGTCAAACCAGTCATGCACTTCAATGCAATAATCAAACAGCATAAAATATAATCATCAAGCCTAATTCATACTGTTTCTTCCAGTCTATCAACTGGGGATTGGATTATATATATAAAGCTTAAACAGTCAAATGGGAGGTCAGACAAAACAACCCGTGTTCACCTTTTCTTTTTTAAAAATTAGGAAGAAACTTCAATTGGTTGAAGTCCAAGTGTGCCAACAGGAGAAGTAAAAACTTACTTGATTCAGTACATGTGAAAAAAGGGCATAATCAACAAATGCAATTAAGTGCAATTAAGTGCATTGTAAGTTTTCATAATCAACAATGGAAAAAGGGCATTGAACTTGAAAGAACAATAGACGGGTAATATAATCCTGCTGAGTTGTAGGGCATTAAACTTGAAAGAACAATTGAAGTTTGGGTTTTAACATAAATAATAAAAGCATGCCAAATATTTTCAAAAACTGTCATGCTTTATTATATAGGTACTCATCCATTTCCTAATACTTCAATAATAATGTAGCTCAAAGAGTTCGCAGAATTTAATAAATGACAGAATATGACATACATGCACCAAATAGCATTTTCAGTTGTAGCAAGCCACCAATTGTGAACTAATAGCTTAGAGTTTAATCAATGGCAGAATATGACATACTTGCACCAAATAGCATTTTCAGCATCATAAAATATCGAAATTAAAGAAAACGGCACTACCATTGGAGATAATTTTCAGCATCATAACAGTTAAGACAGAACCATAATTTTCAACATCATAACAGTTAAAACAAAACCACTTAAAAATTTGAAGTGTGATTCAAACCCAAGAACGAAGAAAATCTCACAAACCATAAGAGGTAAATTTGTATTTAGATAAACCAACGGTCAAAAACCCAGAAATCCCACATTCACATGTCCCTATGTATGCCCATCCAATTCAACCAACAGTGTCAAATATAACTTTCCAGAAACAAACCCTTCTATCAAACTAATAAATTGACAAATACCATTGTATATGAGGCAATATGCAAAAACACTTTGATGAACACTATGATATTGTTTTTTGCACATAAATTGCTTCATACTGACAACATAAATGCTTCACTGAAACAGTGAATAGAACTCACTTGAGAACATGGGATGCCATCAGCAACTCAGGCTCTCCACCCCATACATAAGGTTGTCGAATTATTTTCACATACGCTTCAATGAACCTAAAACCCATGAAGAGAATGAATAAACACTTCCATTCCAATTTAACCATGTGCAATAACACTAACTAATGTACTTCAAAAAAATAAAAATCAAGTTAAACCATACCTACTGTTTTCAATGTGTTTGATGAAGGAAGTTTTGAATTGCAGCAAGGGAAAAGGTTGATTTAAAGGATTGATTTGATGAACTCACCAATTCATCTCAAGCAGCTGGCAGTTACCAAAACCAGGTGGTATGCCCGTGCTTGAAGGCACGGTGTAAATAATGATGGAAAAGGAGGTGAAAAAGAAAAACCTGGTGGTGGGGGTGATATAGATGGTAGTCTCAAGTTACCATCTGAGTCATACTTTATTGGCCTCCCTCTCTTCTTCACCAACAAACCACCACCACCACCAACTACACCATCACCACCTGTGGTGGTGATCTGTAGGCTTCTCTCCATGCTCATGTTCATCACTTCAATAATTAATCACTTCAATAACAAATTGTATTAGTATTAAAATAAAAAATAAAAAAATAGAACAAATAAGTCCTAAATTCAGAATTGGACATCAAATCAAAGGGGGGGAAAAAAAAAAAAGCCCTGTCATTAACTAATGTACTTCAAAAAAATAAAAATAAAAAAGCGCACCAATGGAAAAAAAAGAAATAACAAAATCTAAATCAACAATCAAATTGAACTCATCTTGGTAATGAAAAAAAGAAAAGAAACAGAGAATAACAAACTCTTCGCTTGGTAATTCAACAACAAACTCTAAAAGTTAGAAAATAAAACAATAAACTATTTCACAATAATCGAAACCCAACAATTAAAAAAAAAAATAAAACAATAAATTAAAATTTGAACGAAAAATATAGTAAAATATTCATTCTACAATATAAATGCTCTGAAAGTTAGAAAATACTAATAATATAGTAAAATATTTATTCTACATCAAATTGTAGTAGACTAGTAGCTAAATGTAATATATGGTTTCTTTCATGTAACTTTAGTGCATAATCACAAAATGCATGTTACAATACTTACATCCAATAAAGGCGTCTAATATTGTCCAGAACTATGTAAACTTTTCTTCTTCTTCTTCTTCTTCTTCTTCTTCTTTTTTATTTTTTATTTTATTTTAATAACTGAGAACGAATCCTAGCAGGGCCCTTTGAAACAAATCAATTTTGTGAAGATTCTATTCACTAACCCTTTCAATGGTGCTACAAATTCCCATTTCTAAGGTGTAGCATCCTTATCCCTGCATATCTGTAATAAATTGAAAAGATTACAATCCCTTTTTCGCAAAATATAGTGAAAATGTACTTCAAATTTTAACTAAATTTTCTTGTAGTCTTCCCATTTAAATCATTTTTTGCACATCTTAGGAGGGTTTGTATGGTCTAACTTATCCTGAATCAGGATTTGCTCAAGCTTATTCAAGTGTAACATACCTTGTGTCCTATACAGACCCATTTATGTTCTGTTTGCTTCTCTAATATTTGATATCTTTTGCCTTCAGTGGTACTTGGGATAAATATGATTCCTTTCTTACCACTTTAAAAGCACAGCTAATTTGTAGCTTTCAACATAATCTTTTAGTTATTTTCGTGATGACCCCATGTTTGCTTGCGCATGAGTGCATGCAATTCTATTTTAATAGGAGACATGCTGTCTAAATGCCATATGACAAAAATGGAATGCTATGCTGTCATCGCATCCAACTTAAGTTATAAACAGAAGTTGCACTAAACAAAGTGACAAAAGAAGCTATAAGCAGCTCCATAAGCTGCACCAAACAGATAAAATGACACTAATAATTACAAAGTACATTTACTATAAATGTTAGGATGAATTCTTGTAAGCAATCTGAGGCCATCCTTTTCAGCTTTCATTTCTAGTAGTTCACTTCACTTGCATTTGTTTATCTGAGTGGTGTGCATTCATTCCATGAGTTGCAATTTTTATTTCCATCTAATAACATGATCTTCTTCTGGTTAAAAGCCCCAACTAAAATCACATCGCTAACTACTATCTGAGTTGAACTAAAAATATAGTAGCATCAGAAAGTGAATTCAGTATTCTGATCTTTTTTGCAACATGTTTCGTGGCAGCGATGACATGGCTTTTGCATTGAAAGACAGCAAGGAGCTACCTTGGTTAACCAGAAGAACCAAATGAATGACATGCAGTTCATCATCCAACATTATTTAGTAATTTATTTTTCATTTTTCATCTTTACACTTCACAATTCTACAATTCATACCAATTTATGTTGACATTTGGTGTGGACAATGGACAATACCATTTTTTTTTTGGTTTTTCTTTTCCCCTTTCTCCCAATTTTTGAATTAGGGAAACATTTATTTTATTTCATCTTATCTGGGAATGCTATTGAGACCAAGTTAATACATTTTTATTTTGGCTAACTATTTATTTATTTGTTCATAATCAGCATATTATGTGGCAGAAATGATGCAAAATTTGAAGACCATAGACATCATCTGTTGCCAACAGTGTTAGAAAAAAAATTGAAGATTTACAGTTTCATCAAATTAGGGATTCTCTACGTTGGCTTTGGGAAGACATGGTGGCTAACTCATCAAAAGGTGTATATTTTAACTAGACATGGTAGGAAGACATAGTGGCTAACTCGACGGTGGAGGACGGAGGCACCGTAGCAGGTTGAGACACCTAGGCCAACAACCAGTTCACAGAAGCTGTTTGATTAGCAAGCCAAAAAATAAGTTGTTCATAGCCCGACAGTGAGAGGGAGGGTTGCGGAAGACTGAAGAGGCAGACACAGCCCGGCAGAGAGAGAAGGGGAACAGAGAGAGAATGGGAGAGGCAGAAATCTTACCTTGCAAGCCGAGTTCGAGAGGCAGAAGAAGTTGCTGTCGGTGGAGATCGGAGGAGAGAGAAGATCTGGGAGAAAACCAAAGTCTTCGTCATGCCAATCACAGTGGTTCCCCTCAGAGACTTGATAGACCTATCCTTACCCATGGCCTTCTAGTACCCAGCCAGAGTCGCTCTGTTCAATTGCTGCCTATTCTGATACTTGCGATCTTTAGGACAGAAAAAGAACCACTCTTCATCAGTCGTCTTTATCGCCGATTTATCTGCATAAAAATAGATCAAAGCAAACGCAAAATTAGGGCTTTTTAATCAAGTATATATCAATAATCAAAGCAAAAAAACCAAAATTTTAATTTTTAAAATTTTTTATGTGGGTAGTTTTACCAGACAAATCCTAGGGTTCGCATTTGCAAACATCGATCTCTCGAATAACACTGACTTGTTTCTCATCGCCGTTGATCTTCAACTTCAGATAGTGATTGATGAGTTCTTCGTCAGTAAGGCGAAATCGGTACCCAACCGAGAGAGACTTCTCCGCCAAAATTTTAGACAGAGACATCGCTAGAGAGAGAGAGAGAGAAAAGAAAGGGAAAGTGGGTATGGATCGAAATGAGGAAGAGAGAGAGATCTGAGAAGTTGGAGAGAGAGAGAGAAAGAGAGAAGTGCAAATAATGTTTGGGTTTGTCGTGGGTGGGTGGGTAGGACACTGCAGAGAGAGCGAGAGAGGGATTGTTTTGGGCGGGAATGCGAAAATGTCACAAAGCATCTCAGCCTTTAAAGAATAAAAGCAAATCATCTCAGCCGTCCAAATTAAATGTATCTCTGAGACATTTGTATACATTTTCAAAAACCATCTTCCCTTATTATATAGATGATATTACAATTTACATGCATCAATTGGTATATCAATTAGTGTATCAATAGCTTTGTTGGGAAGCGGGTTGACTTTTTGACTTTTTAGTATTTTTTACTTTTGTGAGAAAAAATAAAATGATTATGATTTGAATGTGACATTTTATCTTATTGACTTTTTAACTTATTTTATCATTTTGTGACTATTTTAGCTTGGTAACTCCATGCCAAATGAGGGCTATATATGTTATGATATTAAATAAAATCAAACCAAGCCTTAAGTCCCATCAAATGGGGTCGGCTACATGAATCCTTTTTCTCCACGCAGCCCTATCAAAGGCCATTTCATTAGTCAAATTAAGTAGATTCATATCTTTATTTATAACGCTAGTCAACGTTAATTTAGGCTTACGCCGTCCCCTAACACTTCCATCTATTGTTACAGCATCGCATTTCTTCACTACTGCCTTTGTTGGTATCCGTTAAATATGACCAAACCATCTCAAACGATTCTCTCTCAACTTATCTTCTATCGGTGCTACTCCTACCCATTCCCGAATACACTCATTCCTAATCCTGTCTTGTCTAGTCTTACTACACATCCACCTTAGCATCCTCATCTGAGCCACACTCATCTTATCTACATGTTGTTTCTTGGTTGCCCAACACTCCGTCCCACACAACATAGCTGGTCTAATAGCCGTTCTATAAAACTTACCTTTTAGTCTAGTGGGTATTCGTTTATCGCACAATACCCAGACGCACTTCTTCACTTACACCATCTCGCCTTAATCCTATGGGCCACATCTGCATCAATCTCTCCCGCTGTTGTGATAATCGACCCTAAATAACGAAAATGTTCACTCTTAGACAGTTCTTGGTTCTCAATCTTCACTTCTCCTCTGCTTTCATTGTTACTGTTACTAAATTTACACTCCATGTACTCTGTCTTAGTTCTGCTTATTCGGAATCCTTTAGGTTCAAGAGCTTTTCTCCAAATCTCCAACTTTGTGTTAACTCCTTCTCTAGTCTCATCCACTAACATAATATCGTCTGCAAAAAGCGTACACCATGGCACGTCATCCTGAATATTTATCGTCAACTCGTCCATAACTAAAGCAAAAAGATAAGGACTTAAGGTAGATCCTTGGTGTAACCCTACAGTGATAGGAAATTCATTTCTCTCCAGCTGACGATCTAATAGTGGTCACCACCCCTTCATACATGTCCCTAATCACGTCAATGTAGCCTTTTGTCACCCCTTTCTTCTCTAACACCCCCCATATTATATCCGGGGCACTCTGTCATATGCTTTCTCAAGGTCGATAAACACCATATGAATGTCTCTTTCTTTTCTTTATACTTTTCTATTACTCTCCTCAAAAGATAGATCGCTTCCATTATTGACCTACCAGGCATAAACCCAAATTGATTCTCTGACACCTCTGTTATGTCTCGCAATCGGCGTTCCATCTCCCACACTTTCATTATATGACACATTAGCTTGATTCCTCTATAGTTGTTACAATTCTGGACATCACCTTTATTCTTATAGATTGGCACTAAAATACTCTTTCTCCACTCATCTGGAATGTTCCTGGTCAACAAAATTTTGCTAAACAACCTAGTCAACTAAGCAACTCCCTTTTTACCCAAACACTTCCAAGCTTCAATAGGGATATCATCGGGTCCTAAAGCTTATTTGATTTCATCTTCTTAAGTGCAATCTCCACTTTAAAGTTCATAATCTTGCGATAGAACCTATAGTCTTGGTTTATCGTATTACTGGTTATTTCTTCCCCTATTGTCGTACTTCCATATTCCTCATTTAACAGTTTCTCAAAATAATTCTTCCATCTTTCCTTAATCTCATCATCCTTCACCAATACCTTAGAATCCTCACTCTTAATGCACTTTACTTGATTAAAATCTCTTATTTTCCTCTCCCGTATCTTAGCAAGTTTGTATACCCTCTACTCTCCCTCCTTACTATCTAGTCTAGTGTATAGGTCATCATAAGCTTTCAACTTAGTCTCTCTCACTACTTTCTTGACCTTCTTATTAGCCAATCTATAGCTCTTAAGGTTTTCCTCAGTTCTATCACTCTGCCACTTTTTAAAGCACTTTTTTTTGCCGTAACTACCGCTTGAACCTCTTCCTTCCACCACCAAGTTTCCCTAGAGTTAGTTCCCGTTCCTTTCGACTCTCCAAGCACTTCCCTTGAGATTCTCCTTATACAATTGGTCATCGAATTTCACATAGTGTTAGCATCACCTTCTAAGTCCCAAGTACCTTTCTTATCCATTCGATTCTTAAATATTTCTAGTTTATCCCCTTTTAGGTCCCACCATCTCGTCCTACGACGCCCACCATCCTTCCTAGCTTGGTATTGTCCTCTAAAACATAAAGACCTATAACTTTTAAAATTATAATATCACTCATTATACAAATTACAAAAACCTATAACTTTTAAAATTATGTCACATCTACACTAATTATTATATCAGTTTGTACATATAACATTATTCTTTCTAATAATGAAGGTGGTTAAAAACATTTAATACATCCTTAATAAGTGTCCTTAACAAAGCCTTCTAAAAATACTAAAAAATTAGACTTACGGTATTAGATCTTATATGATGAATCTTATATCATAAATATGTAACAGGTCAAAAATTAACCATTCATCTTAAATGAGAAAGACTATGATCATATGTATGTTATAACTACAACCGAATATAGAGTTTTAAAAAAAAAAAAAAAAAATATAATTTAATATTTTTTGAATCATAACTAAAAAAAATAATAACCAAACACAACAAGTCGTAATTAAAATCTCAAAATAAGATCATAATTAAAGAAAAAATTTGATAATAATTAAAAAAATAATGTAACTATATATATATGTATGAGATAGGTATAATAGAACAACAATGTTAGAGGGCCACAATTTTTGGGGCCACAATGGCTCAAAACTGTCAAAACGACGTCGTTTTTGGTGCAAAATATGCCAAAACGACGTCGTTTTGACAGTTTTGAGCCATTGTGGCCACAAAAATAAGGAAAATATCTCAAATAGTTTTTAATAATTTTATGACATGTCGGAAATTTCATCATAAATAAGGAAGGAAAATATCTCAAATAATTTTTAGGGTAAATAACAAATATATCCTTGAGGTTTGATTAAAATATAAATTATTTTTTGTGATTTTAAAAATTACGTTCTATCTCTTAAGATTTTTAATTTCATAATAAATCACCAATTTCATTAATAAATTATCAAGTGAATCAATAGTTTTTAATGATATTAAAAATATGAGCACTGATAGAGGCCTCGAATTCGAGGCCTCGAATTTGCCTCGAAAGTGTTTTTTTTTTTTTTTCTTTTTTTTTCTTTTTTTGACTTTGTGTATTATTTTTTTTGTTTAATTTATTTTTTTAGGGTGGTTATATGTAGGGATACACCAAAAAAATTAAATATTTCGTACCAGTTCATCGTATAAAAATATATAAAATTAATAAATTGATCAGTCAATTTTATCACTCAACCAGTCCAACCTAATTGATTGATACTGCTGGTTAAAATTTATTAATTTCATATAATTTTGTATGATGAGTTGGTGCGGGATGTCTAATTTTTTGGCACACCCCTACATATGACTACCTTTAAAAAAATAAAAATAAATAACACAACCCAATAAATAAAATAAAATAAAAAAATTTATCAATCAATTTTATTATTCAATCAGTCTAACCCAACTCACTTGCAAAATATCTAATTTTTTAGCACATCCATATACATAAACTATTCTTGCAAAAAGAAAAGAAAAAAAAAAATACACAACTAGCTGTCTTGGCATTTTTCTAAAAATAAATTTTAATTAATAATTTAAGTAATTTTATTATTGTACATGAGAATAATTATAAATTACATTTTTTTAGTTAATTTTGTTAAATAAAAAAATGCTAACAAGGTAATATTTATAATTTTTTAAATTATATAGAATAATTTATATTTTAAGTAAATTTTAGAAAATATATTTATAATTTACCATAATTTTTAATAATTTTATGACATGTGGGTAATTTCATCGTAAATAAAGGACAGTTCCCAATACCAAAATGGGCCTATATATATATATAGAAAGAAAGAAGCCAATAGAAGAAAGTGGATTTACTTCTGCGCAACAAACAAGTACACACACAGAAGAAAAAGGGGGAGAAGAAAGGGGAAGAAGAAGAGGAAGAAGATGATGGTATTATGTATTCTTAATATCGTCGTCGTTCATGGATGGCGTCTAATCGCAGGTCGATTGTTATGATGCTTGTTATACTGGCTGCGTCCAAAGGGATTGTAAGTGTATTTTTTTATCCTTTTTTCTCGATTTTTAATGACCAACTACACCTCCCTCAACTAATCTCAAAACTGACAAAAACACTCCTTTACATAGATTGGATAAATCTTAAACAGAACCCACAAATATATTTTCATCCCCATATGTGTTTTTCTTCTTAATTCAATCGTCATGAAATTCATAAAATAAAATGGTATACGTCATCTATTTCTCACCATTTTCTGTGTCAGACCAATTGGCTATTAATTTATGCTGGTAGCTTGTTTACCTTTGGCTGAAAATGTAAAACCAGTTTGATATATGTTTCAGGATGAAGATTGTCTTGCCATGGCTTCCCTCCCTTGTTCTGAAT